TGGGGGGGGAGATCTCATAAACATAATGTATAAAGAATATAAACTAATGGTTATCTATATCTAGGGAGCTGTATTCCTCAAGACTGGGTTTGTGACGGAGAGAAAGATTGTGTAGATGGGTTGGACGAACTGCAATGTGAGCCAGGTAAATAATAGATATACATTCTTGTACTCTACTCCAGGTAAACATCCATTCTTATACTCTACTCCAGGTAGACATTCATCCTTGTACTCTACTCCAGGTAGACATCCATCCTAGTACTCTACTCCAGGTAGACATCCGTCCTTGTACTCTACTCCAGGTAGATATACATCCTTGTACTCTACTCCAGGTATACATCCATCCTTGTACTCTACTCCAGGTAGACATCCATCCTAGTACTCTACTCCAGGTAGACATCCATCCTTGTCCTTAACTCATGGTAGATATCCAATCCATCCTTGTCCTCTACTCCTGTATGATATCCATCCTTGTGCTCTCCTCCTGGTAGTTATCTATCCTTGTCCTCTACTCCAGGTAGACATCCATCCTTGTCCTTAACTCCTGGTAGATATCCAATCCATCCTTGTCCTCTACTCCTGTTAGATATCCATCCTTGTCCTCTACTCCAGGTAGATATTCATCCTTGTCCTCTACTTCTGGTAGATATCCATCCTTGTCTTCTCCTCTCAGTAGGTATCCATCCTTGTCCTCTCCTCCTGGTAGATATTCATCCTTATCCTCTCCTTCTAGTAGATATCCATCCTTGTCCTCTCTTCCTGGTAGATATCCATTCTTGTCAACTTCTCTTGGTAGATATCTATTCTTGTCCTCTCCTCGTAGATACTCATCCTTGGTCTCTTCTCCTGGTAGATATCCATCCTTGTCCTCTTTTCTTGGTAGATATCCTTTCCTGTCTTCTCCTCCTTGTAGATATCCATCCTTATCCTCTTCTCCTGCTAGATATCCATCCTTGTCCTCTCCTCCTGGTAAATATCCATTCTTCTCAACTTCCTCCTCGTAGATATTCATCCTTGGCCTCTCCTCCTGGTAGACATCCATCCTTATCCTCTTCTCTTTGTAGATATCCATCCTTATATTCTCCTCCTGGTAGATATCCATCCTTGTCCTCTTTTCTTGGTAGATAACTTACCTTGTCCTCTCCTCGTAGATATCCATCCTTATCCTCTTCTCCTGCTAGATATCTATCCTTATCCTCTCGTCCTTATTTGTTCTAACATCTCATCCTATCCTTGAACTGGTTCCAATCATGTGCAAGACTAAAACTGTCGGATGTTTAGAGTTGAATAACATAATCACATAATGCTTGTGTTTATAAGCAACGTTTCCGGTCAACATTATATCGACAAAATTATATTTATTTTATTGTAATGTACTGTATTTGTTTCATGATGCATCCAGAGAGTTCTGGAAAATTCTCCGGAGTTCCAACTTATATAATGTATATATTTATATATATACTTGGCTGTTTCAGCCTCACCATATATGGCACCATATCTGAACTTACAGAGGACAACAGGGGCACCCAGGGCTGTTGTGGCGGGCGGGAGGGGGGGGGGGGTTGTGAAGCCGGAAACCCAGAGAAAATAACTTCTCTCGTCCTACAATCTGTTCTTTAAAATTGCCTAAATGGGTTTTTTTAACTGACTAAACCGGATTCATATAAGTATTATTTTTCTATGATGAAAATTTATAAAATATGATCTTGCGTAGATAATAATTTTTCTAAAATATTGAGCATGAACATTCTGCTGACGTGCCAATTTAAAAACATCATTATCTGCACATTCCTTGACTTAACAATGCTCGTATTATTTGCGTCATTTTGATGAGTATTCTTTGGACATTTTTAGGAAGAGAGGGGGAGGTCCTAGCTACATCACATGCACACCCTTTCTATTCATGCCCCCCCTTCCCCCCCCCCCCCCATCATCACTGATAACTCCGCATATATCCAGAAATGATTGATTTACCCTGGAGTTTATGACGTAGGAAACTACGGAACAAGGAACAAGAACTTGTATTCATCTTTCTTCTGGAATATGACAACGCAGAGTTCATCATTTTTGGGAAATCAATCTTTGCTGTTCTATGAATCCAATGACAAAGAAAGATTTCTGGTTTATTTCTTACTCTACATCATAAATTAAAGGGGCGTAATTTCAAGTGACCCACCATGAACAAATGGCAATGTCCGATTTACAACAGTACCTTAATCTGATAAAAATGGTTATTCTTAAGGCCAAAAATGCGCATGTAACTTTTAAAAAGTACCCTCAAATGAAAATTAACAGTTTAATACACATAAACATGCATATCTAATTCATTCTTAAGACGAAGCTTTTAAGGGTACCGTTGTAAATCGGGCATTGCCATATTTGCATGAAAGGTAACTTGACTTTACGCTTACAGTCCCCTGAAGCTAGGAGAGGGGCGAAATTAAAATAAATTTTGACCATAATTGTAACTAAAGGATTAGATATTTTTTATCCTTGTCTAAGTTTATTTATCCCCACTTGAGTATTATCTATAGGTTTAGCGATAAAGCTGAAATATTCCTACGCATTAAAATTTATGCTAGATGAAAGAGTTTCAAAACTGACATATTTTCTATTTATTTAAAAATTCAGGTCAGCTTGCCTTGCTTCCTGACATGACCCGAAGTTTTAAGTAATTTTTAACTAAAAAAAACAGATAATTTTTAGTTTATTAATTATTTTATATTTCCTATTTATTTTGGCTCAAGTTATTTTTTAATCCTTTCGAATAAATTGTCTCAACCCTAAACGTAAATAGTTCTTAAGCTTAAAATTAGCGCATTTTCATCTAAAAAAATGATAAAATTGAATATAACTGCTTTATTAGGAAGCTAAAAATTATACTTAACCACAAATAACCTATGACCAATGCCTTTGAAACACTTGGTAAAGTAAAATTCCCTTAACTTCCCTGTAAAGTAGTTGTAAATAATTATTTATCTCAAGATTGTTTTCTTTCTAGAAAATGTTCCAATTTATCTTTCTAAATCATAACTAAAAAAATATTTTAATGTTTCTCTAACACTTTCGTCTTTCAGGTTCCGGAAGTAGTTGTAATGCTGACGAGTTCCGGTGTGGGAACGGATATTGTATCCCGACCTCGTGGCAGTGTGACGGAGAGATGGATTGTCCCGACCAACTGGACGAATGGCCGGAGCTATGCAACAAGAGGAAGTAAGTTTTAATTCATTTTTAATTTCACTGCACGCTTCACATGGAAAAGTTGAAAGTTTTTTCTTAGAATTATAAACAATAAAAATGGTCCTGTGATTGGGAACCCCTGAGTAAAGAGCAATTTTTCCATATTTTTTGAAAAGCAATTTTGTTTATGATTACGTCGGGGTCACCACTTAAGCATCTCTATAACGCAACTCAGAATAGGTTTAACGTTATATTTGTGTAACTATGGAGCACATCTTAACAACATGGTTAAGAACTACTAACTACTGGATTTCAGATTTATGTTTTCTTGTTCCCGGATTTCCTATTTCTGTTGAAGACGATATATGATTAACTAATATTATATATTAGGTGTAAGGATACTGAGTTCCTGTGTCCTAGTACTGGAATGTGTATATCTGGATCCTGGGTATGTGACGGGAAACCAGATTGTGAGGACGGGATGGATGAGAGGAATTGCAGTAAGTATATCAGCGAACCTTTTTTTGCGTCCTCATTCAAACTTTCAACTACTTACGTTTGAAGAAAGAATTTAAATGAAAAACATCACCGAGTTTTGTAAAGCTCACAATTTTGAATAAATCTTCATTAAATTACTTTTTTAATCTTCTGTATAATATTTTGATATATTGAATAAGGGTGCAATATAAAAAGTCTGAACAATAACATTTGACCCGATTGTATTCTAATGCCGAAGAGGCAATCTTTATCATGTTGTTAATAGGGATCTTTTGAATCTTAATTCTTATTCTTAGTCTTCTTTTATTAAATAAACAGAAAACGTTCAACCAATGATGTTTTGAGCTTCAAGAAATAAACTAGTTAGATACTAGTTTACCACTGTATACATGCATTCCATTTAATACCTTATTCCAGTTTACTTCTGAGCTGTCTCTACAAGTCTGATTTTATTTAATCCATTACTCCCTTGTTATCTAGATATTAGTTGTGGTCTGGGAGAGTTTAAGTGTGGTGACTCTGAGTGTATCCAGTCTAACTGGTTGTGTGATGGTTCTCCGGACTGCAGGAACGGAGAGGACGAGATGAACTGTACCGTGGTGGAGTGCAGTGATGACTCATTCACCTGTAAGGACGGATCTTGTGTTTCTCTCCGCTGGAGATGTGATGGACAGCAGGACTGCCAGGACGCTTCAGACGAGCAGGTAATATACGAACCTTACTCAATTCAGTTCGTGGTCAAAATAACTTCACAACCAATTTCCATGTCCATATACGCTTCTATGGATCAAAGGCTACCACAACAACAACTTCCTCCTTATTTATGCATATGATTTGTATTTAACCTGAAAAGTCTAGTATTTGAAACTGAATACGACGTTGTTTTGGCTTGACATGATCTGTTACCTATGTGGTAGTGTATCTGCGGTTTTTCGAAGATTAAGGGGGGGGGTACAGATTTGTTTTTCTTGATTCTCGGTGAACTCGTCTGAATTTTTGAAATACTAATCTAATATTCGTGAAGGATTGTTCCTCTGTTCCTTCTCTGTCTGGTTTATGTAAACATGACGAGTATCAGTGTAGGAGTAGGAACCAGTGTATTCATCAACACTGGAAATGTGACGGAGATTCAGATTGTTTGGACGAATCTGACGAATCTGAAGATATTTGTGGAGTTAAGTCTGTCTGCAGGTGATATATATACATATATATCCTGTCTAGTGTCAAACCATGATGGGCTCTAATAATTAGGAATGATAATGGGATGTTAAAGGGGTTGTTTTAGCTTAATTTTAAGCTACTCTTCATTTCAATAATACCATCATAAATTAAGTAATTTATTGGGTGTAACCAAACTACAAACTTGTCTCAATAGAAAATCCATCAAAACATTAGTAACTTAATCGGTTGGTTTGCAACCAAACTTCAAACTTGTCTCAATAGAAAATCCATCAAAACATCAGTAACTTAATTGGTTGGTTTGCAACCAAACTTCAAACTTGTCTCAATAGAAAATCCATCAAAACATTAGTAACTTAATCGATTGGTTTGCAACCAAACTTTAAACTTGTCTCAAATAGAAAATCCGTCAAAAAATCGTTAACTTATTGGTTGGTTTGGAACCAAATAAATGTTAAATAAACTAAATCCCATAAAGTTTTGTTTAGACGACCTTGCACACTTATCATTTCATTAATCTTGTTAGATACAAAAGACGACAAGTATATTCAATATAATATGTACTTGTTGTTTGTCGTAGGCTGGTACGAATTTCATTCATTTTTCTCTTAATTTATCTTGCCTTTCTTTTCTTTTATTTTAGTTTCGATAAATACAATTCCATTTGAGCTAAAATATCGTCTTCCTCCTGTCTCTTTCTCTCGTTGTCTTAATATTCAATTCTTTTATGATGTAATTTAGTTTTAATGATTCAATTATAGAGATGATCAGTTCCGGTGCAAGAACGGAGAATGTATCCCTCTCCAGTTCCTATGTTCAGGACGCCCTGAATGCTTGGATGGGTCGGATGAGTTGACATGTGGTAAGTTTATTATTATTTTCAGAACTTAAACTACTTTAAAGTGCTCAGTGCTTAGTGCTTAGTTTACAATGGTTTCCTTAATACTGATAAAAATGTCTACAAAACTGAATATAATTCCAGGACAAAACTGAATATAATTCCAGGACAAAACTGATATAATTCCAGGACAAAACTGAATATAATTCCAGGACAAAACTTAATATAATTCCAGGACAAAACTGAATATAATTCCAGGCGTCATGAATCCGTTTTTATAATCATATTTTACAATATGCTTGGACCCTGTAATTTAGAATATAGGAAGATGATATAGAAAAGAATTTAAATTTTAAAAATAAATTCCCCCCCCCCTTTATAATCATTTTATACCCTCCTCCCCCCAACCCTCCTACGATTTTCAATCATTTAACTCATTTAAATCTTTGTTTTTGAGTGTTTATTTTTTCAATAATGTCATGCTAGGTGGGGCGGATAGTTAAATTTAGGGAGATATTTATCCCTTGCATCAGCCTGCAAATTGATTCTGCGAAGACAGATCCATAGCAACCAGGTTGCTCAAAATAATTGAAATAGTTATTCATCCCTGTTCTCATGATTTACGCATTTTTTAATGAATTCTCCTTGAAGGATTGATTTCTCGCAGAAAGCGAGGCTGTATAGAGTCTCAAGGTTATATTTGTATTCAGAATCAAGGCCGAGGCCGAGATGTGACCTCCAGACTGAGTTTGATTGTGGGAACGGTCAACCCTGTCTCCCCCGGGATCGTGTATGTGACACGATCAACGATTGCGGGAACTACGAGGATGAACCCCGGGATGGATGTGGACAGGACGGGAAGTGTGGAGTAGAGAACGGAGGGTGTGATCAGGTGTGCACGGATACTCCTCAAGGACATTTCTGTTCTTGTTTTCATGGGTTCAAACTTGTAAACAATACTTGTACAGGTAAACAATATATTCCAGGGGTAGACACTTTCCAAACTTTAAATATTAAGAATGATGATAAAATTTAAATGACTTTAGGTTTAAACCAACTAAAGGATTTTATTTATTATGCACCAGAGTTAAATGTACGAGGGATGTTCAATAAGTTTTGCTAAATTTTTTTTAAAGATGCTTCTAGGCATCTAAGCCATGTAATATTTTTTTTAAGTTCACTATATTTCTACCGGTTCAAATTTTCTAAACAGCTAATGTTGATCAGATAATATGTTGGACCCAATTATAGCTTTCTCCCGGAGCCCGTAAACGTTGCTTGTCACAGCCTAAATATTTATCTATAGACTAAAACTTTATCCTTTTATGCGTGTTCTAAAGGTTGGGTCAAATGAGGGTAATCCTTTGTTATAGAAAGGGTCCTTGAGGTTTTTATATTTGTAAAAATTCGCCCTAGGAAAAAGTGATGCCATATCGCAAAATGTTCATCTTAATGAGCGCTTCCAGAATATCAAAAAAAGTTACATGGGATTTTGCTTAGCTCTTAGAGGTCCTTCAAGCGCACTGTGTTTCAATTGTGTCAACTGTTTGTGGGGTTTTTGTGGATATTTCCTGCTCAGACATTTTCTTTTTCTGCCAACACTCGTCACTACACTTTCCCTTTCAGTCCACATGTAGACTGTTGCCTTGTCCATATTATTCTCCTCTAATGCATTTTAAAGGTGTCTGCTTTATATTTGGAAAGTTTTAGGCCAATATTTTTGTTTAAGTGACCTCTTTCCTGGGTTGGTATTTAAAATGTTCCTGTGCTGTGACGACGGAGCTAAAAAACCTCCGGGAGAATGCGAATTACATAGAAAAAAAATACAGGACAGAGACGTCTAAAAAAATAATAATTTAAAATTTTTTCGCAAAGATTATTGAACATCCCTCTTAAGTTTAATGTAAAAAAAGTTGAAAAAGAATATTTATATTCTGTTAAGTGAAGATGATGATAATATGGAAAATTAATTATCCAAGACAATTTCTGTGAACTAAATCCAAATATGTCAACATTTTGATTAGATTGATAAACTAAAAATATTAACTTATTAATAAATAAATATTTTGCATGTCTAGATATTGATGAATGTTCAATCCCTGGCTCCTGCTCCCAGCAATGTTTAAACCATGAAGGAGGATTCTCCTGCTCCTGTATCCAGGGATACGTCCAGGATACAACAGATGAAACCAAGTGTAAGGTTGAGAAGGGAAAACTTGGAATTATATTCGCTCACAAGAAGGATATTCGTCTAACTGATCTCCGACGCCAGGAGACCGTGTCTATTGTCGAGGATACGAGGTCAGCTGTTGGGATAGATTTCCATCACGAGGCTGGACAGATCTTCTGGACAGATAGTATCGATAGAAGGATATACAGAGCTAGAGTAAATGATAACTTCAAGTCTAGACGAACTGTAGTGAACAGTAGTGCTGATGAGGGTTTAGCAGTAGACTGGATACATGATAACCTGTACTGGGTCAGACGGGAGAAGGATGCAAAGTTTATAGCATTAACAGACTTTAACGGGGAATCTTCTCTGGATATAGTTACAAGTGGGTTGGATGAACCTAGATCTTTATCCCTGCACCCGGAGAAGGGTTGGATCTTCTGGTCTGACTGGGGTAAGGAGCCGAAGATAGAGATGTGTGGTATGGACGGAACTAATCGTAAAGTTCTTGTAACTAAGGATATCCTGTGGCCCAACGGTATAACCCTAGATCTGGTTCATGAAACTGTATATTGGGTGGACGCTAAACTCCATACTATCAACAGTGTAGGAATATTCTCCGGGTTGGTTCGCCAGGTTCTCCGCTCTCCAGCTCATCTTCACCATCCTTACAGTTTATCCGTGTTCGAGGATACAGTTTACTGGACGGACTGGGGGCTAAACTCAAGTTCTATTTATAAAGCAGACAAGTTTACAGGAGATAATCTTCTACAATTCAAAACTACATATATGGTAAATATTTTACCTCTTCAACTGTATTCACAAATTACTTGGAATTTCGACCTTAGGTCTAATTCCACATAAAATTAATATTTAAATTTTGAACAGAAAGATTTTGTTTTTACTGGTAATTGTTTAATCCTGTCAAATCACCCAAATAAAAAACGCGTTGAGAGTATTAAGTTACACAATACTCTTGGAAGCCTTCTGAGCTATCAAATGTTAAATATAAAGTGTTGATTCTTCTAAAGTTGTCACGTTTTATTCAAAATCTAACTACAATTTTTTGAAGAAAATTGGACATCTTGATATCCTAGGAAAAAGTAAATTTATCACCTTGATATCCTAGGTACATTTAAAGTTAACACCTTGATATCCTAGGTTGAAGTAAAGTTAACACCTTGATATTCTAGGTAGAAATAAAGATATCATCTTGATATCCTGTAGAAATAAAGTTAATACCTTGATATCCTAGGTTGAAGTAAAGTAAATACCTTGATATCCTAGGTAGAAGTAAAGTAAATACCTTGATACCCTAGGTAGAAGTAAAGTAAATACCTTGATATCCTAGGTAGAAGTAAAGTTAACTCCTTGATATTCTAGGTTGAACACCCGATGAGTTTGAAGGTTTACCACAGCTACACCCAGCCCAGAGGAGAGAATGCCTGCAGGTTGAGGATGGATCGGTGTTCTCATATCTGTGTTCCCACTCCTAGATATCCTCATAAACCTGGTTTAACCAGGAGGGAGACAACTAGAGGGTTTACAGACTCCAAGAACTCTGTATGCCTGTGTCCGACCGGGATGGTTTTAGGAGAAAACGGAGTTTCATGTATTCACAAGAAACCTGGAGGACATGGTAAATACATTTATTTATTTATTTCATTAAATCCAGCGGAACGAAAATTGTCTTTATTAAGTCTTCATTAGAATCGTTGGTAAAGATTCTGAAAATGTGAACTAAGAGATAAATGTATCTCTCATAACCCCAACAAATTTAAAAAAACGCTGACTTCATTTCTGAGAGATTTATAACACGACAATCGTTTTTTTTCTGGTAATGACTCGTACATATTAAATCCTTATGTTTTATTGTTTGACCTAGGAGCGAATTTATTTCATTTGAGCTTGGTCGCTTTAACTACATACCGTCGATTCAAATACTTATCTGTAGTTCTACAGTGTAGTTATCATGTATAGGACATGGACATTGGACAAATTGTGAATCACTTATCCGAGTAGTTGAGTAGTAGTAGACCTTGTTAAAATTCATTAAATCCGGCACCTAGTTCATTAATTCCAGGTTCAATTTATCCACGTATCTTTTTATGTAATAGTCTAAAATGTTAACAAATTTGAAAAATCCGCGAAATAAATATTTTTTTAATTAGTAAATTCTGGAGGAGAAATATCTGAGGAGATGTATTCTAGTTACACTCCTTGGTTTAATAATAAAATTCTCTTCTACTCTCTTGTTATCGGTATCACAGCCTTCCTCAGCGCTATCCTCAGCTTGGTAAATATTTTTATAAATAAGAAACAATGATTGATTTTTAAAAATGGTATATTTGGCCAAACTATGATTGAAGATTGTGTGAATTGATACTATTTTTATTCGATGTTTAATGATAGAAATAGTCAAAGAATTAATGAGCCTTATTATACTTTAATTATGCTTCCAAGAGTTTCTTTTACCAACATTTTCAAAAGATTTATCGGTAGAGAGATTGGTTCTAATTTATAATTATGAACCATGTTAAAGGTCTTCTACATCTGCTATAAGAAGCTAAGGAAGGGTTCAGGTTGGAGTGAAACAAGTTCGGAGAAATCTGCAGCTCCGTCCCGTTCTCTCTACCATCCTCCAGTTCGTAGTTCTATGGGGAAGTTTCATGAATCCGAGGTACAAGGAAATTTAGAAAATATACTACTCAGTAATTATTCGTTAAGGGATTAAGAGACAAAAATTTATCAAATTTTCTTCTTAGTTTTATTGTTGAATGATTTTATTTTCAGTCAATGGTTCCTTTACGACAATCTCCTGCATCAGATAGTACTCCGGACTCACCAGAGCTTGACCACCTAGAGACAGTCTAGACCTATACTAGTTCTTCTCACGAGCTGGAGAAAAGCCTGAACAACCAGTGCTCCAGACCACCTTTAGATGTTGTAAACCTTAACTTACAACCAGCCAGTACTCTTGACCACCTGGAGATAGCTTGAACCTCTCCTGTCCATCAGTAGAAAGTTTTCACATACAGAGAAAGCTCTCCGAAAACCTGAAGATGATGTGAAACCTTCAGTGTCTGTTCTTCTGACATCCCGGAAAATCTGGAGGTTCAGTTTTCCTGATTGGTCATAGACACGTCTCCGGACTATTAGTAGACCAAGTAAACTGTTCAATGAAACACCAACTGGATTTGTATCTACGGTTTTCTAGTTATCAAATTCTTCTCTAATTATATTACGAGAAATCATCTTCCACTCAAGAGTATTCATACAGTTATATAATTGCTTAAAGCCTAGTTTTATAAATTAGAATCTACCTACAGGGTGTCCCACGAAAAATGACCGTTGGTAAATAGTTTCGAATGTCGTCTTCCATACAATGTATTAGATAGTAAAGGCGTTATGCAGTTTATTTCGCTTAAAAAATCTTTTGCTCAAATATATTTTACTTTGAAATTAATTTTGCGGTAACATGACTCCTATTTAATATTTTTATTATTGACATTGGAAACAACAATTAAACAAATTATGGAAGAAGACATTCTTAACTATTTACCAACTGTCATGTTTCGTGGGACACCCTGTATATACAGAGCTAACTCATGCGCCAACAATCAGTCTATGTTATGTATTTAAAACCTCGCCATTTTAACCGTTGCTCAAAATCAATTGTACATTTCACGCTAATTATCAATATTTTGATTTTAATCAGGCATATTCTTTAGGTAATAGCTCTTCCTACTTATTCATCTATTATTTAGTCAACTTATTTAATTAGGATAATTGTGTGATTATGTGATAATTTAAACAATATTCTCTCCCTGTGTTTCCAGGCGCCATGAAAGATTTGTTGATGAATTAAACATATTTTATGATAATTATTTTACCCCTGGTTACCGACATAATTTAATCCTTATATTTGTGAAAATATAAATTTTAATTGGAATAATTTCCAACTAACGACCCCATTAACTGTTTTCAAAACTGAATTGTATATGAACATGAGGTGTACACTGTTGCACTGTAAACCCCATTCATGATCTGACCACGTGACCAGGCTGTGATCTGTAATTGTGATTATTTATCCTATTATTGTAAATGTACCGAGTTTAGACCTATATGTAGAGATCTCATTTTACCAAATAATATAAATGTAAATATATTCCTAGTTTTAATGATAGGAAGGATTCGAACTTAATCAAGAACTAGAAATAACTTGAAAGGTAAATTACACTAATTGGTCATTTTATAACTTTGTTTAACTCTTAACGTTTTTTAAAAGAATTTCGAAATAGAGCTTTGATGGACGTTAAATTTGTCAAGCACATGGAATAGACACACGTCACCCCAGGAAAAAATATTTTAAACCATCAAAAACTGCATGATTTGGCTCTAATTCGAATATAATAATAAACATGGGAATTCAGTGATATTGTCATTGTAAATGTTTTTTTAGTTAGTATTGTGACAAGGGCGTACACAGAAATCTGGGGAGGGGGCAATTATGCGCGAAGCGCAAAAAAATCTTTTCCCAAGAGCGCCTGTGGGGCTTTTATACTGTTAATTCACAACATTTGGCTTCATGGATACTATAAAGACACACAAGACACATACAGTCCAATTACCTTACAAATACAAATACTCCTTTATCTCTCCTTTAAACAAAACTAGTAGAAAAAACCAGCAAACCAACTTTTTTTATGTTCTTCACTCTTCTGTTTAAGATTTAAAAGTGTGAAAGCTCTAAGTTCTAGGGGGGCACTGCCCCCCCCCCCCCTGTGTGCGCCCTTGTCATGGTGATGCCTAATAGGAAAGCTATAATCCGTCTGCTACCGTTTGTATAAAATATACTCTAGCAGACGTAACTTCATTTTGACCATTGGAATTAGGTTATACAACTCTAATTCTGAACACAAAGACTAGAAATCTTCTCTTAATTCCCATGTTTATTGGAACACCCTGTACTTAATAAAGAATGTAAGCAATGGCGGACCCAAAAAAGGTGTGGTAGGACGAAATAATGGTGAGTTGTGCCTTACCTCATCAATGCCAGTTTGACGAAAGAAAGAACATTTGTATAAAATGTTGTCTGCATTAGTATTTAAAATTTTGATAAGTCACTTTTCAAAAATAATGAAAAAATTCGTCTTGTATTTTGTAATAATTTTCCGCAATTAACCAAAGGGGAATTTTGTGAATATTGAATCGATATGTTACAGAAAAGTAGGTTTACAATTTTTTGACGTAAATTATTTTAATGACGAACTTCTGTATAGCTTACTTTGATAACTTGTTAACAACAAGCTTTATGCCCTTAACCGTCAACAGGCGTAGTTTTGTGTCCTATCACTCATTTTTATACTTAAAGCTATTACCGTGATATATGATTTCTAATGAATAGTTAAAAGATTGTCTGTATTCGTGTTTTTTTAATGCGTAGGGCGGTAAAAAGTCCGTCTGTGTAAAAAAAAAAAAATAGCCCATAACTTTTTTGTGACTAAAGCTACAGATCTAAAAACTATATTTTTGAAAAGCTTGAAAAATGGATTTAGATCAAAGAGAACAGAATACAGGGGAATTTAAAGAATCTCTCGGTATGAATTTTTTTCAGTCCCTTTCAGCCTGAAAGGGAGTTCAAAGTGTAAAAATCATGTAAATGTTCACAAATTATATGCAGTAGAGTTCGTAGAGTACATTAATACAGTATGTTCCCTAGACTATCCATTTCAATTTCTAATTTTTTAAAGCTGTTAAATAAACTTTATAATGAATTAAGTGAATAAAAACAGCATTTGATTTATAGTTATAACGGAAAACCATCTTTTCTAAAGTGAAAGGCATAGAGTCTATGTGAAATGATCATTTAAGTTATGAAACCAGCCTATTTCATAATTTGGTTTTATTTTAACATTAATTTTAGTTTTTCTATAAAATTATATTCCAGGGCCCGGTTATTTAGCATAAATATGTGAAGTACCTGCAGTATGAACGCAAAATCATCGTTTGTAAAGTGAAAGGCATAGTCTATGTGAAATGATTATTGGTCAATTATTAAACCAGCCTATTTCATAATTTGGTTTTCTTTTAATATTAATTATAGATTTTCTTTAAAATGATGTTCCAGGGCCCAAAAGGTTATATAGCGCAAATATGAGAAGTACACCTGCAGTATGGAAACAGTACAACAAAATGGCCGTTTTACACTTTTTTCCAGTAAATTCCACTCTAATATATATTCTATTCTCTTTGCATGTGTCACACTTTGATATTTGTTTAAATCAACAACAAAATATTTTTCTGAATTTTTTCAACCTTCCATAGCACCTAAACTATGAAAGTTATCGGTCAAATTTTTTTTTCATGTGCTTGCCTTGCAAATTGGGCTATGAAAATCGATTTCAACCCTATGTTCTCAAAGGCCCTTTTCTGGGTGGATGGGTGGGTGGGGGGGGAAGTGTGACGTCCCCCCAGGCTATACATAGATTCAGACCCTTCAACCTTTATTTGGTTAAGGAAATCGAGACTGAGCTAATTCGACGGACCAAAGGGTTATAATGATATCTCTGGTTTGTCCAAAGTTATAATTATTAAATTAAAGATAAAAAGTAGAATTTTCGTATTTTAATGTATAATATGAATTTTTTACTGCACACCTCGTTAAAATGATACATAATTATTATTGTGGAATAATCTTGTTCTGTAGGTTGAGGTGTTAGGATGGAGAGCTGGTGTGTTATAACTTTCTCCGTGAAGTTCTTACTCAACCTTCGCAAGAATGTTCTGTGATGAGATAAATTTTCTCCCTGGTTCGGTGCTTCTCCTGTATCTCCGAGTTATGATGATACTCAATCAATGGGAACTTCAAGTACAAGTTGTTCAGTATATATCCTAAAGACGAGTATGTATGAGGAAATACAACCCCAAAACCTACTTCAGAAAATTCGGATAACCTCTGGTTTAAAAGAATAATTTGAAGATACCAAGATCAGATCAGTACCAGGAGTACAGGATAACAAGAAATCAGATCAGAACTAGCTAGTAACAGGAGTACCAGAGAACAAGAAATCAGATCAGAACCTCTAGCAGACGTAACTTCATTTTGACCATTGGAAT